AAGAACGAATCGATTATCAGCTCTGAATTATTTGAGCAAATACGACCCTCAATTTCCATGATTCCCCGTTTATATGGTCTGCCGAAAGTGCACAAAGAGAACGTACCACTACGTCCAATCTTGGAATTGGTTGAGTACCAATTATCTTTGAATATAGCAAAAATATTCATTCAAACATCTATAAAACACAAAATAATCGAGCAAAGAATATTCTTTTCGATGAATTCTTCCTCCAGGCTCTATAATTATGTATATTTTTATATACACAGAGTATTTTAAATTAGTAAATAACAATATTAGGGTTTTTTAAATAATATCGATTTGTACAGTATGATCAATGCGATTACATTTCATTAAAGATGCTTAATTTATAATAATAATAAAGATATAATAGCGAATAGAATATCAACTAAAATTAGGGAAATTTCACAAAAATTCCGGATTATTCAAACCTGGATGGCCAAGGTAATGATAATGACTGAAGTAACTTCTTATGGATGCATAAATTAGGCTTATTAATACGGATCCCCACAGCCTCAGCAATATTTAGTAGTCGAACTCAAGGCAAAATTGAGATTCGTAGGTATGCGGTAAATGACCCTGAAAGCATGATTAACGTCAATCTTGTGTTCCGTCTCCACAAGATGAGGCAGAATAGCGCTGCGAATAGATTTTGTTTGACCTTTGCTTAACCAGGAAGGGTGATGTTCGGAAATTCGACGCGAAACACGCTTAACTTTACGGCCTATGTAACTGGCTCACTCCACAGGAGCAGTTAAATTGGTAGATACACCTGGAAGAGGCGAAATTAGGCAGTTTGCCTTTCATTCTCAAACGCAGAAGAGGAGTGGTTTTAGAGATACAGCGTAATTTAGCAGCAGGGAATGCTCCTTTTAACGCATTTCTAAGGCGCTGTGTTAGTATCTCACTGGTGTTGTCTCCTAGGAACTGCATCTGTAAGAACAAGGCCTTTCTTGGAACTGTTGGTAACTTGGGCTGTTTTGGTTTCAGATTTAGATTCTTATCAATAAGCTTTTCAGGATAACCATTCTCAATCAGCAACCGTTTAATATTGTTAAGTTCCTCGTGAAGACATTCATCCGAGCAAATCTCTCTTTCTCTGTGGACCAAGCACTTTATTACATTTCGTTTGTTGTTATTATTGTTATATTAACTATTGTTATTATATTGTTATTAACTACTTATTTAAAATATTCTGTGTATATAAACAGATATATAATTGTAGAGCCTGAAAGATGAATTTATCGAAAAGAATATTCTTTGCTCGATTATTTTGTGTTTTATTAATTATCTTTGACTCATCAGTCACATATCTCCCAATGCCATTCTAATGATATATATATTTCACTGATTGTAGAATATTCCGGTGAAGAGTTCTACCGAAATTTGGCGAATTTATTAAATCCTGACTTATTAACATGTGTTGCTTGTTTTAAATTGACAAAAATATCTTAAAAGACAACATATTTCCAGCTGCGTGTGTTTAGAAAATGAAAATCAGCTTTGTATATTTTTACGAAATGACCTCACTTTAGAAAAAGCAACTTTCTATGCCCATTTTTGATTTAATTTCCAAAAGGTGCATGACTAGGGCACATCAAAGTATTACGTGTCTGCAATAAAATCTGCTCGATTTAGTTTTTTTCAAATGAAATAAAAGGGTTGATTTAGTGAATGAAAATAACATGACCAATGGTTGTGGAACATCATAAAACAAAAGAAGAATAAGAATATAGAAGAACAGACAAGGCAAACGTGTGTGACATTACAACTAGCATGAAAACAATACATATATTATTGGTCTCCAAATGTATCATATTACACTTTACTCTGAACTGCTGGTGCCAGCTGGGATTGTTTTGGAAATAAAAAAATTACATTTACTACATCAATCATAGATTAACGCAATATTTCAATCTTTCCCTAATCTTTCTTCAACTAACTCTACACATTATGACGATCATTATCCTGTCATGCGTAATATACTCCCTGATTCATGTGAAACAATAAGGAAGGTGAACGACATTAACAGATAACCCAAATTCCGATTAAAAATCTACGGCTAATATTATTATTTATTCGTATTAGTGTTCCCTTAGGTTCCAAGTGGAACATGTAGCTTCCACAGCCACTTCTCCAGTTTTTCCGGTTCCCTGTATTCCCTTGTAGCCGGCTCCACGACCAGCCATAGGTTGTAATCTTCTCGTTACCCTATCTTCGCCATGTTACTGTCGAAAACACGTGCAACCCATCGTTTCTCACTTGAGGGTCACATTGCTCGTGATATCACTCATTGGTCTCTTCATCGTGTATCCAGTTAATTTCAGTTTTCTTTGGCATGCTAGTAAGGCAACAGGTTCTTGACTGGTTTCCCTCCCAGAGTCTCTTTCTGCTAATTCTTTCTGGTCATCTGATCTTCAATATGGAGTGAAGGAAGCTGTTGACGGAAGTCTGCAGTGACCTATTCGACATGCTTTTCGTGACGCGTAGGTCAAGTCTCTTAACCATACGGAAGAACTGACTTTACGCTAAGTGCAGCAGATTTTCAAACTGATTTCATAGTGATGAAGGTTTGACTTGAGTTTCCGACTGCAGTGTTGACATTTCCATCCGTAACGCCTGTAGATGAAACGATTCTTCTTCCATGAGTGAAGGATGTAATCTCTCTCAAGTTTCTTCATTTGATAGTGATTGGTGCTTTTTTGTTGTTATCTTCACCATCTCCGTCCTCTCTATGTTCACGTGAAGTCCCGTCTTCTCTAATTCTTCTGCCAACTTGTAGGTTTCTGCCTGAAAGTCTTCGAGTTCGCCCGACATCCGACATATACCATGTGCGAAATCTAGGCATTCCCAAGTATTCTTGTCAGTCCGGCCTATTCCTGTCTCCTCAATTCTGAAAATCTGATGTATAATCCAGTCAACCACAACAACAACTCTTATCCCTGTATTCACTTCCATCGACTTGTTGAGTCTTCCGTTGAGGATTGCTTGACATGAGGCATTGCCGTAAAGCTACTGAATCAGGTTGATAAAGATTTTGGGCACGCTATATTGTTGAAGTAGTTTCCAAATCACCTCGCGGTCAATGTTGTCGAAGGCCGGTTCAAAATCGATGAGACTGAAGTACGGATTTGACTGCCATTTCATGCTTTGTTCGGTGATGATACGTAGAATTGCATTTTGAACCACACATGATATGCCTTTCTTGACTCCAGCTTTTTCTGGTTGGAGTTGTGAATCCAATGCACTCTTTATTCTGTTCAGGATGCTGCGACTTATAATTTAGCTTGGTATGGACAAGAGTATGATTTCATGCCAGATTTAGCATGTGCCTGAGTCGTTCGTCTTCAAATCAGTGGGTAGTTTTCCCTGCTTTTAGACTATTCTCATTTGTGGAGCGAACATATCCTCTGCGATCTCTGGGTCCGTTTCCAGTTCTTCAGAAGGACTTCCATCCAGTTCTCTTGCCTTGTGAGCTGGCATTCAGTAGCTTGATTCCGTTTAAGACTTCTGCTTTTGTTGTAGTATTTGCTACTCCACATCTCATTCCCTTGGCGACTATATTATCCACATTATCTTTCATCACTCTTCGTTTCATCTCTGTTCAAGTTTATGGAGGGGGAGTTCGTGTATTGTGGTATTCCGTTATAGGATATTTTCATTTCATTAAGTTCACAGTCATGGTGTAATATTTATTGATGATGTTTTAACTACAACGTACGGCACTTTATCGTAGGAAGGTCCTTTTTATTATGAACCTATATCTCTACCAACTTAGTGAAATTATGAAGATTCGTATTGTTTGAATGCATAGGGACTTGCATTTTCTGAATACATTTGTGCATCTTCGTATTCTTTCAAAATACGCGATGAAAACATCTTAATCGGTATACACAGTAGAAAATGACACGATTATTGAAATGCTATGTCAGACTGGGTGACAGGAAGTGTTTCAAGAGTGTTTCCGCCAACAGCGCTGCTGGCGCTACTAAGTATTCTTACACCCACCTAACGACAATCTGTTGGTTTTCACGAAAAAGCTCTATTCTTTTAAACTATGAGCTATCGAATAATTTCATACTAATTTATTTTATTCCTTTAACGTTCCTAATGAAGCATAGGGCTTCAAATTTCAGCTTTGAAGTTTCAGTAGCCGTGATACATTTCTTTCATGAGGTGAGGTTGCTAGCCTTAAGACCAACCTTTCCTCCCAACAAAGCCCACTACTGGCTTTGCAGGTTGTGGAAGTCTTTACGACAGGAATCGAACAGAAGACCACTTTCATGGTTGGCGAGGATTGTATCATAAAAACACCGGTGCTACTGAAAGCACAGATAAATTACTAAATACCACTGAAGGCAATATGGGGGAATTTGAGGATTTGAATACGTCAGTGGTTCAGTTTTAGTCAGTTAGAAAACCACTGTCCCAAAAGTGAAGATTTCGGGATTAAAAACATCATATAAATGGAAAACGTTAAGTAAAAAGCCATAAAGTCCCAGTTTTACAGTCCAAAAAAGCAGTTGGGTGTGCAAAACACGTCAAAACTATCTTACGTCGTCTAGTTTAACCAATGGCATCATACTCTCTGGAATGTTCAACGAATTGTATTATTGTAATACAATTTTTGACGCTAGGGTTCAACTATATTACACTAGGTATACAATAGATATATAATTATAGAAATCACTTTAACAGAATTCTGAATACGATAAACAGATCTTTCATTCTCTCCTCGCATTACTACTACTAATAATAATAATAATATCTTTTATAGTTCCATATGATGTATTCCCTCACCTACTTCTGCCGTCTAACCCTTTGTTGTATGTAATAAATTTGAGTTTTGAAACACGAGGGAAATTTCCTTAGTTGGCGCCAGCCGTTGATGTTGTCGTCTAACTAATTTTCATTGTTAAAAGTAATATTTCTCTCTCTTTCTAAATCCACTTACCTTTACTTTTTTTCATCAAACTTAGGCAAAGCCAACTGCAAAGTACCGGAATCAAGTTTAAGACTGCCCTATTTACTATCTGCTCAACATGTAACCGGAGTATCTTTAACTAACAAATCACCAAATCTACTTACCATGGGACTAGCAACAACCATCACCGCGGCAGCTTTAGGCTCAACTGGATTTCGTAGTAATAAAATGTTAGATTATTTAAGTACAAATAAAAGTAAACCTCAACCGAAACTTTCACATGATTTAATTGATAGAAATAAGCCAGTTGTACAGAATTGTTCAGCACGTAGTTCAAGTGACTCAAACAATCCTTCGTCAAAGTATCCATTAGCTAAGGATAGTACTTGTAGGAATAGTATTGACAGAAGTTATATGCATCAGAATGATAAAATGCAGACGTGCAGTCTGAATATGAACACGCCAACAAATGTTGTAGATATTGAGACTGGACCATTAATAACTCCAGATTACAACTGCACCAGTAATAATAATAATAATAGTAAATCAGCAACATCCAATAAATTAATGGTTCCTGAATCAGATTCAACAGATTCTTCAACAGATGATTCAAGTAATACAACGGATGATCCATCAACTGCGTTTAAATTTCAAAGACGTAGAAGTCGTGCTGTATTGTATCATTTATCTGGAAGATTTGATCAAAAGTCAAAACACAGACTACCATTCAAAAAGGTAAGAGAATTATTTTTAAGGAACATGTTTATTACTAGTGAAGAAACTTTTATTTCTTAACTGCTTTTCATTAGTAGTCTATTACTATCAGAGGAAAATAGCTATATCTGGACTACTTCTAATGCAAATTAGAATGCTTATATACAAGTATGTGTATATGTCGTCTGATTAATAATCTATTCATGGTACAATATGCAACCAAAGATATTTACACCTAAGGTTTTTTTTTTCATCAAAACAATCTAGAATAGTATGTGTCGATGATTCAGTGGTAGGACGTTCAACAACCATGCATATCGTTCGGGGTTCGATTGCCGAACGGCGTATATCTTTATTTCCTCTAGCCGGCTGTAAAGCCAACAAAAAGAGAAGGTTGAAAGTAAGGCAAGCAACCACACCTCGTAATGACAGCACCTCTGCTACTGGAACTTCAAAGCTCAAGGTTGAACCCCAGCGTGTTCCACTTTGAACGTGAATGAATGAAATAAAAGTATTCAAAAGAATGGTTACTGAACAAAGAATATTCTTTTCGATAACTTCATCATAAGGTTTTATTGTCAGCAAACTACAAGTTTTATTTTCTACACAACTGGTGGTGATTCTCTAACTGAAAGAGGAATTACCTAGACTAGCCACCTCTAATTGTATCTATCAATTCAACTGCGCTTGTGGAGCAAATTATATTGACCACTGCACTAGGAACTTGATTTTTTATGCTCAGGGAAATCTATCAGTGTAGTTAAATAAAGGTGTAGTGAGAAGCATCATAGCTCAGTATTAGAACATCTGGTCCAAACTAGCCAAAAAGCTAATATTGAAAAGTCCTTCTCTATCATCCATTGGGTAAGGAACAAATCACCAAAAACGTCTAGGTACCGCATACTCCAAACAGCAGAGACTATCGCGATTCTTCTGAAACAACCAGTGCTCTATGCACAGAAGAAACGAGTCCAGCCACTACTACTGCCCTGGCCTTCAGTGAAGACTATCAATTCACGAATTTGCATTAATATTTCTCTTAATTTTCCTGATATTCAGCGTGTTGTTAGATTGATGCTACAGAACTGTAATCCATTGCTATTATTATTGATTCGATGTTATTTAAACAACATTAATGCTGTTAATAACACTAATTCACACACTGTTATGGATATATATAGTTGTAGGACCTAATGATGAAGTTATCAAAATTTTCTTTTTTTTTCTTTTTTTCTTTTTGATTACAGCTTGATTCCACACCGTATTTTAAGGCACAAGTAAGGAATTTTCAGTATGCGATATCGGTGGCCCAAATTTTGCAGGCCGACCATAGATATCAGGTGTGCATCGGCAGAGGATCAAACCCCGGACCATGTGCATGATCGGCGAGAGTCATACCCGCTGTGCCACCGATGCACAAAATGTATATTCTTTGCTTAGCATCATTCCCTTAAAAGTTTAAATAGGCATTTTTAATCGGTTAAAATAAAAATTAATGAAATCTACAAAAATTCTGTGTGCAGATGAATTCTATTTTAAATCAGTCTTCTTCCCATTGATTGGCCGAATATAAATGTTCTGTCTTAGTTGAAATGTCGGCTTTCAAAATGCATCCCTCGATGAAGTCAAAGAACGAACAGAAAGCTATTTGCTGTATGTTGGCTGGAAGTGAAATCCAGGAGGCGCATTTTATCATGTTTGAGACTTTTCAGCTGGATATGCTTGCAGTACTGAATAAGTCCTAGTGTTCTTACCGAAACTTAAACATAGAGACTTTCATTACAAACTCCAGGTGGGCTAATGAGCAACATTTTAACTCTTGGAATGATTAGTGTTGGTTTGAGCCTAAGTGGGAACACCCTGAGTCGCTTGAAATCGCACGCATATCCAGATAATAAGTCCCGGGTAGGACGAAATGCGCATCATGGATTCCACTGCTATCCAGCAAACGGTGAATAATATTCAGTTAGATTTATTCAATGAAACGAAATATGACCAATAAAACGTTTTCCTGAAATCAATGACGATCGACTTTTTCAGGAAAGTTGTATAGTTGTGGATCTTCAGTAAATAAAATGGTTGTACCTTGAGACAAATATATATGTCACTGGGTGACGTTTTCGGTTCTATATCTATGTGTTCACAACAAACAATAAACTGACGATATCAGTCAGAAAAAGTTGAAATACTTCAGGAATATGAATCAGCTATTCAGAGAAAGCTGAGATAAATTCCTCTGGCTCCAACTTTTGAAACACTGAGATGTCAGATATCTCGAACTGCGGATTTGAAACGTTCCAGCTTATGTTTACTGATGAATTTTACTTTCACGCAATAATAATAATACTTCACAGACTAGATACATTCGACCATTTTTTGGAATTAGCAACTACACAAGCTGTTAATGCTGCCGAAACTTTAATGTTGTATCATTTGCTGGCTACCGAGCTAAATATTACAGAATGTCTGCTTAAAGAATGTCCATTCTCCATGTTTTGTCTACATTGGTTAATTAGAAGGACATGAGTAATACAGAAAATATACCAAGGCCTTTAGAAAATCTACAGCCAAAGTACCCAACTATAAACTTAATAGCATCTGTTCGACCACCGAGAAATCCAGTTGAACTAGAAAAGCCTGAAAAATCATCAGCCATAGGTCTACACGCTATAGAATCAGGCCACAAAATTGATTTCGGCAATAATGAAATAATCTAGAAAGACTTCAGAAATCACAAAGAACGTCTAATATCAGAAGCACTTCATATCAAGTGGAATCCAAATTGTCTGAATAGGAATGATGGACAAAAGTAGAATTTGACCTGGTTACTACGTCTAATCCCCCTCCCCCATGAAGTGACAAAATCAACACGAATGTGATAAGCAATATCATTATTTAAACACACACTGCTTTTATAATTTTACACACTTATCAAATCCAACAGTCTACACTTGGTTTTATTGTCTTTACCAATTGGCTAATTTGACAACGAAAAATGACCCCATACTGACGAACGACGATCAAGTTAGTAAACTTTGTTTTGATACCATAACAGATGTACTATTACCTTTGTTATTTGGTTTAGTGATCTTCATTGTTATTCTGACTTTCAATATGTCCTTTTAACTTGACCCAAGTCTATTTTCTCACCTCTCAACTCTTTGTTATGTATATGCTGAGATTTTTTAAATTCTGGTTTAATAATACTTAGATAAAGCTATTAGCATTAAATAGCGAAGCGTCAGTAAAAATAATATCGTTTTGTTTTTCATTCATTGGGACATATAAAATCCTTTATTATAATGTACATCATATACCCAATGCCCAAATTTTTTCAAACTGTTAAAAGTGAACTTGGTCTGGACATATATAACTTAGTAACACTTATCATACTGTGGAGATCCCGATACTTTCATTACCGACTGGGTGCTATGTTTGCATATCAAATAGCATCAAGACTACAAAAATTGTTGAACTTAGCAAAACATTATCCATACCATTTTGTTTCATATAACCGTTTGCTTCAAATGAAATTATTAGTAGAAAGCTTGGCGTTGTAACGTCTGTCACGAGTGTAACGGTTTCTTAACTGTTTTTAACATCATTTCAGTAATTGCTGTACAAGAAAAAGTATAGTATTTGAATTAGTAGAACCAGATGCCTAAGCAGTCAAGCACTGGTTGCTACTTTTCATCGTTTCCTACAACTTTCTTTCGTGTTTCGATTTCAATTATAAAATCCCATTCACTTAAACGGGTGATTTTACATAATTCATTCACACAATTTCTGAGCAGTACCCATGATGCCTGTAGTACAATGATAAGCTGGTTAGCACAAGTGAGTCTGGCATTCCATCCGGTAGAATGCCGAACGCATGTAATGCTACCGCAAATCATATCTTCATCTTGCTTTCAGTCACCACATATTCCGAAAATCATTCTGCGCGTCGGTCGCAGAGCGGTTAGGACTCTCACCGACCATACATATGGTCCGGGGTTCGATATCATGCCGATGCACACCCGATATCAATGGTCGACTTGCAGAATCAGGCTACCGATATCACATACTGAAAACTCCATACTTGTACCAAAAATACGGTGTGTTATCAAGCTATAATCAAAAATAATAATAAAAATAATATTTTAGATGTGTCTTTTAACAAGCATCATACCTTCCTCAAATTGTTCTATTTTTTATTTTCAGTTTCAACGAATCTCTGGTAAAGAAGCCATACCTGAATACAAAGTACAAGATGTTCAAGCTTCAAGATTTATTCTACTTCATTATAGTTTATTTAAAATTATATGGGATTGGATGATACTATTGTGTACATTTTATATTGCTATAATGGTACCGTATAATGCAGCATTTTCTGAGGGAGGTGGTGAAAAAGATTTAATTATTTGTGATATTATTGTAGAATTATTATTTATAATAGGTAAGTCATGAATTAATATAATGAAAGTATATCATCAAATGTTGGTTTTTGCAGGGATTTAATCGATTACAAGTTTGCTTACGTTTTGACATGAGTTAGAGAATCACTGGAAAACCAGCGAGAAATGGACAGCTATTTCGTCTTAGTTTGGGCCCTTCATCAGACAGCCCACACTAGTGTTCTAAAGACGATCCAATGATCCAAGGGCTTCAAATTTTGCCATTTCGCGATATAGAGCGTAACTGCCAGCCAGTGTCAGGTGTCGTAACCCTCGGGGTTCACCAATTCAGGCATGAGTTCACTTACTAGCCTGTGAGACTGGCTGGTGGTTACGCTTTATATATCACGAAAAGGCAGGAGTTAGAATTCATGGACCGTTGGATCAAGTACCAGTATCTGAATGTTCTACAAGCTCGTTTTGTAGCCAAAAGACCCTGGGTTCATGCTCCTAAAGAGTTCCAAACTAGGACGAAACAGAGGTACAGTACTCCCAGGTTTTCCAACGATTCTTTAGCTGATATCAACTGGTCAAACCTGTGAAAACACATTACCTGGCATTATTTCGGTGTATATCATTTTTTCTAAACCACTGGTATTTGTTTCACGGTATGCAAAATCTGCAAATAAGGACTGATGTACAGTTATTCGCTGGTAGGCATTCGCATCAATAAAACGATGCACATTTATGATGTGTGGCTGATGTTCGCATTGCAATTAAACATCATGAACGTGGTATTTGCAAGCAGTCATTCACGAATCTGTTTTTTCTCAGTGTGAATTTGCTTGGAAGATAGTCTCTTTTTGGTTAAAAGTTCTTTGATTTAGTCTGCGCTGCATTCCGTTCAGATAATACAATTGAATTTATGTAAATGACGTATTTTATTTATTGGAATTATTTCAGTCATTTGATAAATTATTCCGAGGGGATTACTTATTCAACTTGTCCTATTTTATAAATAATAATCTCCAAACTAATTTGCCCATGGTAAATCTTTTCCAATAAAAAAAGACATTTCATAATGTCTGAAAATTCATTTTATGTCCTTTTAAGTGACTCGAATAGCTCTTTGAAATTCTATTCTCACAATCACTGGATAAGAAGGTTTTCAACTCAGAGTTAAGTCTTGCTAGAAATTCGGAGTGAATTTCGCCATGATGAATGGGACTTCAAGACCAGTTATAGCTGACAACAGCTACAGAACCACTGAGAACCAAAGGGCGCTGGACAACTGCTCCATTCTTGGTTGGGACTCTTAGACAGTAGGCTACCATGATCATATCACCAGGGATTGAACTCAGAACTTTCAAGTTTCAAGGCGAATTTCTGTACCATTCACCTACCGGAACTTTTAGTAAATTTGTGCATTGAAGTTTCTGTAGTAATTTCTTTAAGTCTTGGAGGTATAGCTGCTAGCACCACGCCCCAACCCTCCCTCTTTATCCAGGCTTGGGATCGGCTAGAAAACTAGTGAGCTAGTAATTTAGGCGAGGTTCATCAACCTGAAACCAATCTGGAAATCTTCGTCACTCAGCATCAACAACAAAATTCGGATTTTCAATACGAACGTCAAGTCAGTCAGTTCTTCTATACGGATCAGAAACTTGACAACGGGTCACAAAGAATATTTCCAACAGCCTGTTGCAGACCTTTATCAACAACTGTCTTCGTTCTATACTGAAGATCAGATGGCCCGAAAGAATCACCATCAAGAAACTATGGGAACCAACAAAACAAGAACCGATCGCTCGACAAATATGCAGGAGAAAGTGAAGATGGATTGGACACTCGCTGAGGAGGCCGTTGGGTGACATTGCACGTCAGGCCATCGCTCGAGTGGAACCCGAAAGGGAAGCGGCGAGTGGGACGTCCAATGGTGACATAGAGGAGATTGTGTGAAGAAGAGTTGAAACAGTATGGACTAACATGGATGCAGGTGAAAAGTACATCAGAAGACAGAAACAAGTGGAGACGTGTAGTTGAAGCTCTATGTTCCACTAGGAACCCAAGGGAAAAATAATAATAATACTGATGACACTGGTTGGAGGTAGTACTATAAGATGCAACATGACAGAAATCATTATTCAAGGGCCATTAGATTCGTTTCCAGCAGCTCAAAGGTATGCGAACTAGCCTTGTGATGTAAAGGTACTGGGCTTGACCTCTGGCGATTCAGTCACGGTTGAATACCACTGAAGAGTCTCACACAGGAACGGAACATGTGTTTAGCGCTCCCTGGTTTTCAATGGCCTTCTAAATGATGTTAATCAGTGGTCAATCTTGAAATTCTTCAAATCCCTGCATCCAACATCTTACAATATGATTCCAACTTCTCATTCTGTTAAAAGATGATGTGTAGAGCTCACAGACTGAAGGAATTATACTTATACTATTTTTTCCATGACGAAATAATTTATATGAATGTTTCAACCATTTTTAAAATATCACTTTCACCGATGTTTATACGAACACTGATTAGAATGGACTTATATATAGGCTTCCAGACGAGTTCTTCTGGTAAATATAGGCAAAGTATTGGGTACGTTAGGGACTTTCCGATAATTTCAACATCAAATACAGAATCATGGAAGAGCAAAAAGTACTGCATAGTTGTTTCATTCGATTCTGACAAAAGCTGAAGTTTAAGGGGGACTGCATTCTACCCCACTGGCTAAATGATTAACTGGCTCGTTTTGTAACCTAAGGTTCCTTGACTAAATCCTTGAAGGGGCCTTGGATGTGCACTGCTGAATAGTTCCGAAGTCGAATGAAACAGATACTAAGTACCTCTGGGTTTTAAAATCTTAAAAAGCCTGATTTATAAGTCGTAACCAACTCTTGTCAGTTGACCCTAACTGTATAGCATCAATGAAATATATATATCAGGCCGGTTAGTAGGATTTATTGTATTTAGCATAAAGTATTTTATTCAGATTAATCAGAAATCCTAAGCTAAACCTACAAATTTGTTTGAACTAATTAGCGAAATGTATATTTTCATGAGGATTCGAGTATATGTCATGCTTTAAAATGTTTGAAACAATCAGATACGGAGTGACAGTTACGATAAGTTCCAACAGGAATCTAAAATGTTTTTTCAAACGGAATTTATCCTCCATTAAATACAATAGGAAATCGAAATTACATTCAGCATGTACACTACGTTCTGAATATTATGGTCACCATTTAAGTAGGAAAGATAATTGGCTTTCAGTAGTCAGTCTTTAGCTTTCATATTAAATATATTTATGCATATATGTTGATGAAACCTCTGGTTAGCTGAAATATATATGTTACCAACTCCTATCAGTAGTATGTATTGAATGTCAACAAAACCTGAGTTCAATTTTCATTTTACTTAACTTATGACTAATATAAATGGTAAGACAGTTTGACAGACTAATAGCTGATATCAGCTAAATATCAAATGCAAACTTGAATAAAACGCAAATATATAAGTATTGTTGTATAGAGAAAGCAAAGTATGCCAGCCTGTAACGTACTAAAACAGACGGTATTTCCGTTGAATAAATTCACAGCTGTGAATTCTCACTCAAATGACCAGCACTCAATTAAGTACAGATGTATGTGGCAGCGTTTTAACTGTGCCAGGATTATTCATTGTTTAGTTGACTTCATATAAATTAATAGTGAAACTACACGATGACTTTACCCAAACACTCCCAAAAAGAAAAGAACTAGAAGCGCGGCGGTTTCATCCTCTAAAGCAGATGTACAATCACTTTCTAATACATATGTTCACATAGTTGCGGTTAGTATTCAATTCAATATATTAAGGAAGAGAGACCAGACAAGATAATAATTATCAATTTGATAACAAAATCTTAAGGTGTGCGTTGGTGGCACAGTGGTTAGGACTCTCGCCGATCATACACATGGTTTGGGGTTCGAACTCCCACCGATGCACACCCGATATCTATGGTCGGCCTGCAAAATTTGGGCTACCGATATCCATGTTGAAAATGCCAGACTTTTACTGAAAATACGGTGTGGTATCAAGCTGTAATCAAAATAATAAAAATAAATAAAAACTATCCAAAGGAATACTGAAGCAAAATCACATAAAATCAGAAAACTTTTACAAGTTGCACAAGAATTGCCTCTGGTAGATAACATATGTGTATTAATGGATTCTGTGTTCGTGTCTCAGTGAAACACTGTCACCCACAAGGATGCTGGTGGACCCAATTGATAAGTTCCAATGATGACGAAACTTGCCACCTAGATTTCGCTGTAAACCACCAAGAAATGACTTATTTTATAGCACGTAGTTCCTTTGCTTTCACAGTGGAACTTAAGGCTTCATATTTCAGCCTTGAAGTTTCATTAGCTGTGAATTTGTCTTTTACGCGATGAAGTTGCTAGCCTCGCTCCTAAACTTCCCTCTATAACAAGCTTACTACTGGCAAGACGAAATACAGGAGTGAGTCAGCTGGGGATCAAACCCTGGAGGAGTGTCATGGTTGGTGGGCATTCCGCCATAGAACTACCAACGCCTAAGAAGCGTGTAACAGTGATAAATCAACAAGTGGTTTAATATTTTGGTGAATTCGTTCAACATATCTGCCTAAAAGGTAAGAAATTGTCCCATAAGCCGACAAAATAACAAATAATGTTACACATTCCACAATACAATCTTCAACTTTACCTACTTCTTCATACATAAATGGCTAATTTGTATTTGTAAAATAGTTCTGAAAATCCGCGAATCTTAACAGCTCAATTTCAATGTTTCTAACTACGGTGTTGGGTGACTCTTCTTCTAGTAGACACCCTAAGAGGTGGCAGATACCCCTTGCTAACGTGTGTCAAGAAGCATGAAACTTGGATCCATGGTTCCATGCCGATTGCTTCTAATCACCCAACAAAAATATCAAGTGCACCGTGACAATGAATTATCTATCGTGATGATCGTCTTACAAATCTACCTGATTAGACGCCGATCAGAGCCAGTACTAAGCACTAAACATGTAATACTTGT